TTCTTCTAGATGATGCCACCTCCATGTTGTTGAAAACCAGTTTTTTTTTTTGTTTTTTTTTTTTTAAATTAAAAAAAACCAGTTTCGTTAGATATAATGCTGAAAGAAGAAGCTTTCTGTTTTTTTTTTTTTTCAGATTTGTGAAGGAATGACCTGGACATTCGGCTGAGCCGTGACCGTCGTTCAATCGATAGTAAGTTAGTAACCTAGGCTACCAGCCGGGCCACGCGGGTCACCCTGTTTTCGTGGACGGCCCGGCCGTGCAAGGACCAGGGAAGGTCCCATAAAAAAAACAAAAAAAAACGAAAAAAGAACCTACGTTATGCAGAAAAATAAACTGAGCAACTTTCGCCTCAGGGTCATATCGAAATTCTTTACCAAATTTAAAATAAAAAATAAAATTTAAACTTCTTTTTTTTTTTCTTTTTTTTTTCTTTTTGGGCCCGTCGGGGCAAGTGGTCCCGGGCCACTCTTGTAGCCTAGTTAGTAACCCAATTTGTGTTTGAAAGTGGTAGCCCCTAACATTTGGATTGTGTCCTTCTCAGCGTCACGAGGGATGCTGGGCCCGGTTCGCAGCATGTGCTGAGTTATCATCACAACATTATATCTTCTTCTTGTTTTTTTTACCTGTTTTTTTTTTTTTGCAAGGCCTCTATCCCAGTGGTGGTAAGAGCACCACCGGTATTGAGGCTTTGCCTGTCAGGCTGCTCAATCTATTGGTGGGGAGCGACACCTGCTGGAAACCGGGTACAACGTCCCATTGGATACATATTTTGAGTAGTACAGTGTTTATTTGGGCCATCGCCATATAAGTTAGGCTCCTGGACCACCATCCTTCCCTGTTGAATGCTCACCCTCCCTACTTGTAGACACCTTACGTCCTTTTTTTTTTTAAAGAACTTCATATGCGGGAAAACCCACTTAACGAGGTGATAAGAGCAACCCCGTTAAGTGGGTCCCGACGTTGAAGGCTCCATCTATTGGTGGGGAGCTACACCTGCTGGAAATTGGGTCCAGCGTCCCTGTACAATAACATGTGTCAGCTGGAAATCGGGTCCAGCGTCCCTTATACAATGATGTGAAAGGATGACGTACTATGCATCCGATGATATGTGAGGGTGTTCGTTAAGTTTGTATATCTTCCCATAGAGCAGAAGGCATTGATTACTTCCCCGGAGAAGGGAGGGATTGACCTCCTGCGGACATGACCAAAACCCTAAGTAAAACCATCTCCATCAAGCACCCCAACAGCCAAAACGCACCCACGCACGAAACCCTAAACAACCTACCCCTACACCTCATCATGATTGGGGATGCCACTATGTGGGGAAGTTCAATACAATTAAAAACACCTATGTTATTCGCTGTAGGATTCATCTTCTTGCTTACCATAGGAGGACTTACTGGAATTGTATTAGCTAATTCTGGTCTTGACATTGGTCTACATGACACTTATAATGTAGTAGCACACTTTCATTACGTACTTTCTATGGGAGCCGTATTCACTCTATTTGCAGGATTCTACTCTTGGATAGGCAAAATCTCTGGAGTTCAATATCCAGAAACCTTAGGTAAAATTCATTTTTTGAGGCCGGGCAACCCCAATCAGTGGAGGGTCGTCGTTTATCCCACTCCCACCCACTGTGAAGCGAAGATAAGCGGATCAACAGGGAGAGATACCACGCAGAAGTGGGGGAAGGTAGTAGTAGTGGGCGTTGTTATTGTTGCCTCCGTTGTCGTCACCTCTGATGTTGTTGCTGTTGCTGTTGTTTTTGTTTTTGTTGTTGTTGTTGTTGATGTTGTTGTTGTTGTCTCCATCGTTATTGTCGTCGTCGTTATTGTTTTTGGTTGTGCTGTTGTCACTGTTGTCATTGCCGCCGCCAACACTGCAGGCGCCGCGATCGTTGATGTAGTTGTTGAGATCGATATTGGCGTTGTGACCTTTGTTGTCTTCGCAGCCGCCAATATCACCGGTGTTGATGTTGTTGTCGTTGTCGTTGTTGTTGTTGTTGTTGTTGTTGTTGTTGTTGTTGTTGCTGTTGCTGTTGCTGTTGTTGTTGTTGTTGTTGTTGATGTTGATGTTATTGTTACCTCTGTTGTGACGTGCGCCTCCTCCCCATCGATACCGTTCTCCAACTGGTCCTCCAGAAGAGCACGCAGATCGCGACCCTTATTGAAGAGGGCTTTGCAGACAGACATGATGCCATGTGGCATACTGCGTAGCCACACGGGCCCTGCAGGGCCCGTCCCGCACTTTCAGCCTAAAAGCCTAAAACTTAGGGCTTACAGGCCCCGGTCGTTTCAGCCTGAAAGCTGAAAAACGAGGGCCTGCAGGCCCTACTCCGTTTTCAGCCTATTTCTGGGCTTTTCAGGCCCAGAGGCTTTCCAGCCTGAAACGGAGGGCCATTTTCAGGCCCTCATTTGTTTCGACCTGCCCTAAGACTCAGGCACGAAAACTGGGTTTCGGAACAGGCTATTTCTGGCCTGTTCCCCACGCCAGCTCGAGCAGGAGCTGCAGCTGCAGCCCCTGCCTTCCTTTGGCATTGGCAAGAGTGGCCTCCTGGACTGCTGGCCCGAGTCAGGAGGCACACCCGTAGTACATAGGAAGTTCTTATGCACTTCACGGGTAGGTAGTTGTCAGTAGGCATGAGTAGTCTTCAGGATTCGGCCGCAGCACTCAGGAGGAGCGCTGCAGTAGTCTTCAGCGCTAGGCAGTAGTCTTCAGCGTTAGTTGTAGTCTTCGGCGCTGGGAGCCCATAGCCATAGAGTAGTCTTCAGCGCTGGGCGCTGGTAGGTGGTAGATCGTAGAGTGGGGAGAGATACTGGCCGAGGCCAGTGGTACATACCTGTGGCGCCATCGCTCCAGCTCCATCTGCGAGGTACCTGCATCAAGGCACCAACTTCACAGGTTAGTACTGGACATACAGAGAGAGAGAGTTCTTCTTCTTCCTCTTCTAAGTCCACCATCTCTTCCCACCCTCTCACCACCTCACTTCTCAGACTACGACAGAGAGAGACAGAGTTGTGACTTGAGACTTGACGACATTGGATCCAGACTTGACATTTGGGATTCAGACATTTCGACGAGGGACTATTTGGGCCTGTGCCGAAGACTTGGTGTTGACGACATTCCCATCTTTCCCCTCCTCTTCGTCTAACCCCTTTTTCTTCGTCTGTGTATGGTAGGGGCTGGCGCAGTCTTCCTGTGTGAAGCGCCAGACCCCATTCACACCATGAAACGATGATGATGATGTATGTTCAGGGCTGCATTGCAATATTGATTGTTCGGATCACTGGTATCTAAGTCTTCCGCTGTGTTATCTTGTACTTTGTATTGAGAGGTCGGTTCTTGTTCTGGTCTGCACGTTACAGTATGCAACA